ATACATGTATGTAAGAACCAACTGAAAGAGCTCCCAATGGTTAGAGCTGGAACAATTTAAGCAATAAAATAAAGTAGTACTGGACTTTAGCCCAAATAAAATAAATATATGAGTCCATGTTGACATAATAAATGACTGAATAAATAAGTAAGTAGGTAAGAAGCAATCTTCCATACAGAGTTCTAAATAATTTACTTAGATACCTCAAGAAGGTAGAGCACAACTCCTTACTCCTTGAGTGTAGGCTGTACAAATGTTTTACTTTCTTCTGAAGAGTACAATATAGAAATGTAGGAAAAAAGAAAAAAATTAACTTAACAGTTGAGAAACCTAACACTACCCAAACCAGGTATCAAGGTTACAATCAACAATGACATGTCATGGTGCTCATATAGTATGTTGAAAATGGCATTTTACCTCTGGTGTCTTTCTCTCAAAAAATATATTACCCTAATCTATTGCCCAGGAGCTCTGGTAGCATAGTGCCCTAAGCACCCGACTGCTAACCAGACGGCTGGCGGTTCAAACCCACCAGCCACTCCTTGGAAGGAAGATGGCGCAATCTACTTCCATAGTGATTACTGCCTCGGACACCCAAGGAAGGGTCGCTATGAGTTGGGTCTGACTCAACGGCACATAACAACAACAACGACAATCTATTAACCACGGGGAGCTCTGGTAGCATTGTGCCTAAGGCACTTGACTGCTAACCAGAAGGCTGGTGGTTCAAACCCACCAGCCACTCCTTGGAAGGAAGGTTGGGCAATCTACTTCCATAGTGATACTAGCTTGGAAACCCAAGGAGGGGTCGCTATGAGTCAGGGCCAACTCGACAACACATAACAACAACAATCTATTACCCTAGGAGCTCTGGTGGTGTAGTGCCTAAGGCATCTGACTGCTAACCAGAAGGCTGGCAGTCCAAACCCACCAGCCACTTCTCGGAATAAAGATTGGGCAATCTACTTCCATAGTGATACCACCTCAGAAACCCAAGGAGGGGTCGCTATGAGTCAGATCCGACTCCACAGAAATGAGGTTTTTTTTTTTAATCTGTTACCCCAGTGTAATCAGGAGAAAAACATCAGACAAATCCCAATTTGATAAAATACTTGCCCAATAATCCTAAAAATGCTCAAGGGCATCAAAAACAAAGAAAGCCAGAGCAACTGTCATAAACAAGAGAGGTCTAAAGAGGCATGACTATTCAATGTAATATGGCATCCTGAGTGGGATGCTGGAACAGGAAAAGCATGAGGGAAAAGATGAGCAAAAGTTAATGAAGTACCAACTTTAGTTAATAATAATATTGGTTCATTAATCATGACAAATGTACCATACCTATGGTAAGTTGTTGTAACAGGCAAAACCAGGCACTGGGTATATGGTAACTGTCTATACCACTTTCAAAATAAATCTGTAAATCTAAAACTGTACTAAAGTTAATCGCCTCATATGCATGTGAAAATATATATTATATATATTTAATATATATTAAAATATATAATCAAGGCATTGAAAATAAAGGAGAAAGGAATAGAAAACAGGCAAGAAAAAATATAGAAAATTAGACAGAGAATAATGAGATCTAATATCCAAATAAGGAGCTCTTATGGCATAGTGGTTAAAACATGCAACTCATAAATAAAAGATCGGCGGTTCAAACCCACTGGCCACTCTGCGGGGAAAAAGATGAGGCAATGTGCTTCCATAAATATTTACGCCTTGGAAACCTTATGGCACAGTTCTACCCTGCTCTAAAGGGTCACTATGATACAGAAACAATTTGATGGCAGTGAGTTTGGGTTTTGGAATATCCAAGTAACAAGAGATCCAGAAACAATAAAAAAAATAGAAGGAAGAAATTTTCAAAATAAAATATCCCAAAACTGAAGGATATGGTCTCCAGGAGGAAAGAGCCCACTTAGGATCCAATACAATGAATGAAAAACCCTCACCAAGCCACATCTTTGTGAAATTTCATAATACCTCGGTAGTTTATGGAAAGATCCACTATATTTCATATGGTAATCTGCACCCCTCACTTTTTCTTCCCCCAATGTTGCTAACCCTCATCTCCTACCCTTTTTATTTCTCTTTTCTAAAGCTCTATTTACTGTATGACCTTCTAACATTTTGTATACTTACTTATTACATTTGTTGTTTATCATCAAGAACAACCCCTCCCTCTCCCCCTCCCAATGCAAACTCCATGAGGGCAAGTGATCTGTCACTTTTGTTTACTCATATATTCAAAGTATCTTCATCAGTGCCTAGCACATAAAATGTCCTCAATACCTACTTGCTGAAGGAATATAAAAGCTTCCAGAAAGAAACAGTAGGTCATATACAAAATACTAGTTATCATTATCTCAACAGCAACACGAGAAGATAGAAGACAACAAAACTATGCCTCTAAAATTCTACAGTAAAAGGTTTCTAATCTAGAATTCTACCCTCAGATAAGTGATCAATCAAGCATGAGAACAGAAAAACAAACAAACGTGTAGACATACAAGAACCCCAAAAATTTGCCTCCCCTTCAGTTTTTCTCAGGAAGCTATAGGAGGATGGGCTCTACCCACATGTGGAGGCTACCAACAATGAGAAAGATCTGAAATACAAGAAACAGGCTATCCCCTGGTGAAACTACTGAGACTATGGCCCCTAGCTGCCCTTCAGATCTGGAATTGATCCCACACCTGTGGTTTCCAGCCAAACAAAAGACAGGCATACGAACTGAACATTTACCTCAAGTAGATACACTCCTTAGAGAGAACATTCATGGGAGAAAGAAGGGCTGCTTATGCACAGGGAGACAGCTCAGGGGGCAGGAGTGCATAGAGGGATGGACACAGGGAAGAGGTAACTATGGGGAGGAAGTGGGAGGGGAGCTGTTGCACTGTGGTAAATTGTGGTCAATGTCATGAGACAAAGTATATGTGAATCGCTGTATGTAAAGTAAACTTGCTCTGTAAATCTTCACCCAAATCACAATTTAAAAATACATAAATAAATCCAACACAGGAGACCGAGAAGTGAAATTCACAGATGATCTTTTATAAAAGAGTGTGCCAAGAAGATAGCTGTGTGACAGGCCTAGAGAGCAACCCATCCAGATGGAAGCAGTGACAGAGCACTGCAGGAAAGAAGTCACAAAACAAAGCAAACAGATTATGTGATGTGTCTGAATCTAAGATGAAATTTACTTATCTTGTGTGAGGGATTATTAATAAATAGATTAAATAAAAAATATGAAAGACACAAAAAAGACAGATTTATAAAGATGAAAGAGATTTATCAAAGAACTAAGATATCATCAACTCTAGAAAAGCCAAGAAATTATACAAGAAAGGAAATACCTTTACGGTATACTATTTAGCTCAGCTGTATGCAATGTTTACATAGTCAAAATGAGGTAAAAGAAAAGATTCAATGAAAATTTAACATATAACTGAATTGGGAACAGAAACGGAGAAAAGGAGTTAACATTTAAAGATGGGGGTTGGTATAATCAGAAGTTGGTAAATAATAACCTAAAAGTAAGTGCGCGTGCACCTGTGTGTGTGTATTGTGTGTGTACACGTAATGGTTATGTAAGTAAGCATGTTATTTTAGAAACTGGAGGTGAAAATGAATTGAAGAGTCATTGACTCTGAAGCAGCCAGAGCAACAGGGTGAATGAAATTTACTGACTTATGCCTTAATGACCTAAAGCATTAACTTTTTGTAATGATTAACTTCTCTCCCATGCATTTTAAATGTTACTAGTTATGTACTGGGAGCTCTGGTAGCATAGTGCCTAAGGCACTTGACTGCTCACCAGAAGGCTGGCGGTTCAAACCCACCAGCCACTCCTCGGAAGGAAGGATGGGCAATCCTACTTGCGTAGTGATACTGCCTTGGAAACCCAAGGAGGGGTCGCTATGAGTCAGGGGTCGACTCAACGGCAAACAACAACAACAGTTATGTACCAGCCTTGCAAAAACTGAGGAAATAGTTATCCAAATCATTTTCTGTGTTCTCTAGTTCAGATGATGAATGCTGACTGCAAGAAAAGTGGGATTCAGGGATGAGAAGGATTAGGCAGAAGACAGTTGTTTTCATCATAACCCTTGGGGTATTATTTGATTCTTTGAATTACGTACAGGATGTCCCTTTGATAAATATTAAATTAAAATTATAAATATAACAGTAAATAATAGTAAAGGAACTCTGAATACAGAATGTATAAAAAAATAAATAAGAATTGCAATGTCTAGAAATAGTTTCTCATTAGATTATGAAACTTATTAAATAACATTTACAAATTATCTTTTTAACAATACACTATTAAATACTGCTAAAAATGTGTGAAGTGCCTAAAAGAGACAAAAATTATGATAGTAATATAATTACTAACAAAATGCAAATACTGTACATTGAAATCTTTTAACATAAAATCAGTAAGTTGCATATAATTTCCATTTCAGTCAACCAAAATGTATTTATTGTGCCAGCAAACAATCATATACTATTGAAGACACAAAAAAATATGTAAGATATACTTCCTGTTCCTAGAAGTTTGTTTTTGTGTACATATGATAGCCTAGTTTAGGTAAAATTTTTCATCACTTGGCCCTTTATGTACTCGCAGAGTTATAGACAAATATCTGCAATATTTACTTTATCAAAAAATGTTTTTAAAAACCTTATGATAAAAAAATCACATTCTGGCAGCAATATGAAAGAAAACAAGTAAAATGAGACTCCTAAAATGGTTAGGGTGAGAGATGATGAGGGATTAAGCTCAGTGCAGGAGAGGTGGAGAGGAGATATAAAAGTGGCTAAAGAGCAGGAACTTTGGAAAAGGAAAACAAGGGAGAAAGCTAGGATTACTGTCAGGTTCCTCTCATAAGTGACTGAGTAGATGGTGGTACCACTGACCGTAACAAGCAGTAATAAGAAGGGAAAGCTTGAGAAAAAACTTCAGTTCACTTCTGGACTGTTGTTTGAAGTACCTTGAGAACATCCTGGAGAAGATATCCAATAGGCAGTTAAATATAAGGCTCTGGAGTTCAGAAGAGAAGTCTGAGATAAAGATTTGGGAGTTGGCAGCATACAGCTATTAATGGATGAGATCACCTAAAAAGAGAGGGTAGAAGAGAGAGCCTGACATCATAACTAAAGATCACAATTAGCATTCCTAAAAGCCACTCTGGGTAAGACTTTATGCAGATTCATATGTACTTATACAGAAAAATATCCAGGATATAATGTTAAATTAAAAAAAAAATCAAGTTGTAAAATGTTATACATAGCAATAGGCCATTTGACCAAAAATTTTTTTTGCAAAATATTAGCAATTACAGGAATAAAAATATGGAGGAATATACACCAAACTATTAATAATGCTATATATCTCTATAGTATTTTACTTTTTTTTCACAAAGACGTACTGCTTTTGTAAACAAGGAAAAGAGATAATTTTGTTCCTTTCCTTAAGAAATTATACCCTTATCCTTAAAATGTAAAGATAGTAAAAATTTATTAGAAAAACACTTGAATACTGGAATATAAATGGGTAAGTAATATGAGCAGGTAAGTGATCAGAGTACAAAAAAAGTTTAACGCATCACCTATACTATGAAAGTAATATGAATTAGAACACATACCATTTCTTGCCTGCTAAACTGGAAAATAAATGTTTTTAACAATCAATATTGGTAAAAGTGTGATAAAAAGGAGCATCTCAAACACTGCTGACAGGAAGAAAAGGGTACGTTCAGGAAACCAATGTGACAGTATCAATACCTTCAAAAATACTCCTAACAGCACTTTTTAAAAATTTAAGAAAAAAAATCTAAAACCATTGAAAATAATCAAAGATGTTTCACTGAATCATTAGATGAAACAATTTAAACACCAACATTACCATACAACAGAAATGTATGCAGGCATCAAAATGTCTATCGAAAGTTTTTTCTGAAAAAGTGCATACTCTGTGACTACCAATTCTACTTCTAATGAAATAGTAGCACTTGCGCACAAGGCCACATCACAAAAAATTTTCAGGTTGCATCATCTATAAAGTGTAACATTCTAAACCACCTAACAGCCCATCAATACAAAAATGGTTAAATCAGCTTTCTCAAACTGTGGTCTAAGGACCCCTGGAAATCCCCAAACCCCTCTTAAGAGTGTTTGTCAGGTCCTCCCTTTTCCAAATAAGTATCTGTGGAAGGCTGGATTTGCTTCATATTAAACCTGAACAAGACAATACACCAGACTGAATGGAGCAGCAGATAAGAGAATCCAGCTGTCTTCAATAAAACCAGGCAGTAAAGTGATTTGTAAAAATGTAAAACAATGCCATTCTACTAACTTTTGTTTTAGAAAAGTTTTTTTTTTACTAATGTATATATGTGATTATCATTTCTAAATAAAGTTTAAAACATTTACCAACTTTAATTTCTAAAATGAGAAAGATACTGTAATCAAAACTGAAAATGCTTTTGGATCACAGTAATTTTTAAGCATGTAAAGGGAGGATAAAAATGAGGCAGTCTGCTTCCGTAAAGATTTACAGCCTTGGGAACCCTATGGGACAGTTCTACTCTGTCCTATAGGGTCACAATGAGTCAGAATCAACTCCAAGGCAGTGGGAACCTGAGACCAAAATGTGTGAAAAATGCTGGTGTAAATAAACTGTAGTACAGTCATATTATGTAACATTATACTGAGGATGATAATTAAATGGCAATTTTGCTTTATCTGTAACTTTTAACTATTTCAAAATAAATTTTGCTCGTGTACTACTTGTAAAATTAAGATGTAATAAAGTTATGTTTATGAAGCTTTTTTTTTTCTTTAAATTGTGATTTGGGTTAAAGTTTACAGAGCAAATTCACTTTCCATACAGCAGTTCACACACAAGTTGTCTCATGACATTGACTACAATTTACTCCAATGCAACAGCTCCCCTCCCCCCCCCACCCCCCCCATAGTTACCTCTTCCCTGAGTCCATCCCTCCATGCACTCCTGGCCCCTGAGCTATCTCCCTGTGCATAAACAGCCCTTCTTTCTCCCATGACTGTTCTCTCCAAGGAATGTATCTACCTCAGGAACATATTCAACTCATATGCCTGTCTTTTGTTTGGCTGGAAGCCACAGGTGTGGGTTCAATTCCAGACCTGAAGGGCAGCTAGGGGCCATAGTCTCAGTGGTTCTATCAGGCTCCATCGGACCAGCAAACCTGGGCCCCCCCCCTTTTTTTTTAAATGAAGCTTTTATAAAGTATGGAGAAATGCTTAAAATATGACGTTAATTGAGAGAAGCAGACAATCCAACTGCATATATAATCTCATCATCTTAAGAAAACATACAGGGGAAAAAAGACTCAAATGGAAAAGACTCAAAATATGAACAGTGGTCGATTATTTTTAAATGGCGGAATTATGGTTGATTTTTTTCCTTATTCTTTCTTAGTATTTCTTCAAATTTTGACTCTAAACATGCAGCTTAATATACAGGAGAGGAAAAAATTGGGTGAAAAATCATATATAGTTCTACTGCATCAAGCTTTAAACTGCCAAATCAAGAAAACACACACTCACAACTGTCGAGTCGTATCCAACTCACAGCGACCCCTCTTTAGGTTTCCAAGGCAGTATCACCACGGTAGTAGACTGACCAACCTCCCTTCCGAAGAGTGGCTGGGGGGTGTGAACCGCCAGCCTTCTGGTTAAAATGTCTCAGGCACTACGCCACCAGAGCTCCTAAATCAAGAAAGGGCATGCTCAAATGAATAAACAGAGGAAACTGGTATGATCAAGCAATTGCCTAGTTTTTAATAAAAGAGACTAACTCAATATTAAATTTATGGGCTGATTTCTATGCGTCAAAGCAACAAAAAATCAACACAATTCAGACTCACAGTAGCATCAATAGATACTTGGAAAGTTAGGTTATCTTTTAGAATTTTTTAAAGGTATCAAAGATAAGGTAGAGGTGGGAAAGAACATCACAGCATCCTTTAGATGTAAAATGAAAAGAAAATGCATCGACAGGGGAATGAGTATTGCGAGAGCACGGGCAACGATGACAAACTCGTCCGCGAGGATCAAGTCCTTCCAGCGTAGAGGCTACCGCTCTAGGGAACAAATCTCTTCCAGCAGGCACAGACTCTCTCAGGAGGGTCAGGCGGCTCTAAGGTCGCTCCTTCCTCCACCTGCCGGGGGTCGCTCCACCTCCCTGCCGAGCCCTCTGGGCGGCCCGAAGGGGTGGGACCCGGCAAACAGCCGCTGCGACCGCTCTCCCAGCCTAGTCCGGCCCTCCAGGCTCCACCGACGGGGCGGGAGGTTTGAGGACCGGGAAAAAGGCTCCTAAGGAGGAGCAGATCCGGGCCCAGGCTCGGTCCTTGGAAAAAGAGAATGGCCAGACATAGAGCCGAGGTCGACTGGTCTAGCGTCTGCCCCTCCCCCTCCAAGAGGGGCAACTGGGGTGAGAAGCGGCCAAGACAACCTGTTATGGGGGGCTCTTACCTCCCCACACCCTTTCAGAGCTCTCAGGGCACTCGAAGCGACGCCTCTCTAAGAAACGAAGAGCGACCCGGGCCGGGAGTCCCGGGAATCCGAGACGTCGGCTCCGGGTTTGTTTTCCCACCCCCCCGACCTGGAGTGAGAGGAAACAGCGCAGGCGCAGAGGAGGATTTCCTTCGGCTCGCACGCCCCCTCCCTCCCCGTCCTCGGCCTCCGCAGGTCCTGAGGCGCCTGCGTACTGCGGTGTGGGGTCCGTATTGGGACCCCGGGTTCTTACCGGAAGTGCCTGAGAAGGTGCTAGAGTGACAATTAGGTCTCAGGTCGAGACTTGGCTTCCCACCAGACGCACTGTAACCACTTGGCAGGCAACTTGCGTCAGTGTCCGGCTTCCTCTTGCCCTTCGTTGACCTAGACGCAGTTTTCCCCGCCCTAGCTTCCTCGGTTGGTGGAGGGCGCCGCGCTCAGGTCTGTACTGGACACACCCGCCCGCCAACTAACTAGGCCTGTTCTCACCGCTGCGGTACTTTCCAGAAATCTAAGTTTTAACTTCAAACTGGTTCTATTTTTTCTCATAACCATGCAACAATAGAAATGCTCCCGACGGCCAAGCCCTCCAACCCATTAAAAACCAAACCCAACCCACTGTCATCTAGTGGATTCCGACTCGTAGGGACCATTAGGACAGGTTAAAACTGCCTGATAGGATTTCCAAGACTGTACCGAAGAGTGTCACCGCTTTCTCTCACAGACATAGGTGGGTTCGAACCGGCGACCCTTCTGTGCCCTCTTTCCAGACCGATTGCTATTCCCAATGGCTCTTACTGTAGCTTTAGTTCTGCTTTTCATACAGTGACCACAAGAGCAGCTGCCTCCCCTGACTAAAAGCAAAAGCTAACTTGTCTGATGGAGAAATGCTACTCGTGATGTATTTTTCCACTTGTTGAGCTTTACTATTTTTATCCCAAGTTTCCAGTAACTGTAAATGAAGGAAGAAGAAACATCTGTGTGGCATCAGAATGTCATTACAGACTGGGGCAAAAGAATCCATTAGTTGCCAAAAGGTTTCGCTAACTCAAGATTCGTTTTGGCCTTTCAAAAGTTGCAAGAGTTGTACTAGCTCAAGAGTGAAGATTTATGGTGAAAGATTGGGAATCACAGTTCAAATCCTAACTGCAGAACACTATTTGAAAGTACTTAATCTCTAATCTTGATTTTCCTAAACTCTCAAGTGGAACCGTGTGTTTTAGGTCAACAGTGAAACTTTAATTAACTGTATAATAATTTATTATACAGTTTATTATTAAATGAGCATCTGCTCTGTGACAAGCACTGCCTTAGATGACCTATATGTTTCCTACTCATTTAATCCTAAAAATAATTTAATCCTAAAGATAATTCTACAAAGTACAAAATTCATTCTCACTACTAAGGAAGGTTGGGCAATCTTCTTCCATACGGCCTCGGAAACCTAAGCAGGGGTCACTATGAGTTGGCTGAAACTCCATGGCAGTGAGTTTTTGAGTACTATGTATTATGCACCATGTTGTTGTTGTTGTTTGCCGTTGAGTCGGCCCTACTCATAGCGACCCCTCCTTGGGTTTCCG